TCTCTGATGTTAGAGTATCGCTAAAACCGGTTTAAAACAATTCTTACTCACTGTCTGAAGTTGCTTAAGACACGGGTCGACTAACAGCTCAGAGACATGGCTGCACTCTGGTCAATAACTAACAGAATACAAACATGGCTGCTGTCTCTTTGTACATCCCATGTATAATATTCTTGCGTCCCGGGCCCCTTCTCTGTGACTTGGCACTCACTCACTCACTAACCCACCAACCCAGCAACCCGCCCGCCCACTCACTCACTCACTCACTCACTCACTTACTCACTTGTTTTAATCAAAACTTTGAGCCAAATTCTTTTTTCTCTGCAAAATACATTTCAAGTTTTTTCAAGAATTTTCGGGGACAATTTTTTTTTTCGATAAAACCTCATATACCCACGTGGTGGATCGCATTTGTCAATAATGCGCCCTGAATGACATTGAAGATGAATATAAGTTTCTTATAAGTCCATTTCGTTCCATATTAAGATTTAAGTATATCCCTGAATATTACTTCGTCAATACCAATTTCTTTAACATTTCTGTTAAACAATTTAGATTGCTTACTTTCACACAATTGGTCGCTTTATCTTTATAAAGCAATGAGATACAGAGAAAATAAATAGACTCTACTGATCTTAATGTACTAATTAGAAATCTGACTGGTTCACGTGATCTGGATAAAATACAATGTATCCCGGGAAATAAATACCTGAGCGGGAGAATAAATCCCCGCCACGAAGAACACAGGCTGCACGTGGATTTCAGAGCTGGAGAATAAATCCCACACACCCCACTACAGAGCAAAAACTGCACGTTGCTTACGAGTCAGTGAAAATCACGTGAGAAGCACATGAGAGAGCTCAATCGAACAGCTGTTTTCCATCAATTTTCAATTCTTTTACAATGGCAGCTTTAAACATGTCCGGCTCGTGGTATAAAACCAAACACGGAACGCATAACACAACATATACCACTCTTGATACTGATACAATATTTATTTCATCATAGCGTGGACACATTTAGGTTTCTCGCCAGGATAAAGCCAACGTATAAAAGCGATATCAGTTGGGGTCATATGCGAATAGAGATGAAAATATCAAAGGTCAAGTAGGGACTACATTTAATGTTTACAAAGAAACATTGCGTCGCCCTTGTCATTCGGCGATCCAGTCAGAATTAACCATTGGGAATCTGGAATAATTACTTGCATAATATATTGAAAATCAGTGTCTAACTGTGACGTAGCTAAGGCATTTTACAAGTTTCGGAATCTTTGGAGATATAAATTGCGAAACAATTCGAGGACACTAGTCTAGCGGGATCAGTTTCCATATCTGTGCTTGTAGACCTCTGCGGCTTGAAACATTTTCCCAAAATTTAAACAGATGGATTTGGCCGAAATATGTCCGAATTGTTACCTTGTCGCTGCGTGTACAGCTGAGTGCACTCGAAACGTTATGACAGGACATGCAGACTCCAAACAAACGTGACCTTGCATAGATTAGGGTGAGTGTAGATTCCCTTTTAGAAAGGAAAGTTGCTCTAGCCGATGGACTACCGCGAAAGGCAAGTAGAAACAATTTGTGTAGGCAATTGTTGTTTTGAACATATGTTGTACACGAAACAGGTTTCAGTTGGAACTATATTGACTGTTGTCACTGTCCAAATGACGTAATACATATTAATGCGCACATTCCAGGAAAACTTGCAATGCTCTCAAAATGAATGTAGCGGATTCTTACAAAAGTTTGCATATCGGTTTTTCGATTCGTACCTCAAGGAACCGAAACAAATACACAGTCAATGCTTATCATTAAATTCGACAACGTAAAACATGTTTTATCTACAATAATTTAACCAAAAACAGTTATCAAAACAGACACAAATGAAGAGATTGATAAACATTCCAGGTGTAGGAATAAATATTGTGGCGTGACATGAATCAGGCGATCGTTTAATTTATGCACATAACTTGACACGCCTACACAGTCAGTAGCCAATCAAAATAATGTTCATTGAAACCTGTCAATTAGGGCAAGAGGCGAAAAGAACTGCAACAGTCAGACTGTAACGAACCGGAAGAAACATGTCCGGGAGAAGGCGGCTGTTTCAGATAACATGGTCAATTACCGCCGAAACACAGTTGGAAAAATGCTAGTTAGAAATGAAACCCGAAGACATGAAAGTTGAACCGAGGCGAGCGGGAAAAAACAGGCGAGCGAGCCTGCACGTTTGCTGTTTCATTCATTCTCGGCCTTCGGTTTCAAAGGGTAGTTTGTACAATGAATATGCATGAAAGTCGCTAAATTTCCTGTGCATGATGATACACTTGAGCAGAAAGGGAAGTCCCTCGACCGTTATATTGGGATTCCCCGACATTCCGCAGTAATAAAAGTAGTGCGCCTCGGTCGGCGTGGCTTAATTTTTTACGTTCATTTTGAAATGAATGCAATAACACGTGACCAAATCAGCTAATCAGAATACAGGAATTTCAATGAACACAACGAAAATTTAATAATGGTACATTGTAGATATCGCTGCAATGAAACTGCCTCACAATGCTTTGCAGATCATTGTGACGTCATTCGTTACTATGACGTCACAATCAAATAACATCACTGAAGGCACTGCTACTGAAGCTGTTAGCAGTACTTATAACACTAGACACTGCTTATTACTGTCTACAAACTGAAAAAGTTGGAAGAATGGTGTTGGATGATAAACAAAATCTCACCCTCGTGTCTTTTGATCTAATAAATATCAACACTCATTGATATATATCAAAAGACGCTCGGGTGAGATTCTCTATGTCTATCCTTCTATTGTCAAAGGTTATTCTTTATCAACATTTAGAATTGCAGGAATATTTGTTAAGCTGAATACAAAACAGAAACATATAACTGTTTTTAATAGAAAATGGAATTAACTGGAATAGATTGTTTATTGAAATGCGTCAACTGTTACATGGGCCATACATGTTTGTATCATTTGCTAGCCTTTTCACTCCTAATATATCAGGGGCTGTCGGGTAGCCTAGCGGTTAAAGCGTTCGCTCGTTACGCCAAGGACCTGGCATATTGCCACTTGCGGCTTAAAACCATACTCACTCAGTCACTAAGTAGGCTCTGAAAAGGAGATGCCGCGTTACCTTCCTTGATGAACACCATCTCCTCAGCTGGTCCGAGGGGCACGGGTGGCCCAGTCGTCCATGGCGCCGGAATTTGCTGTGTCGAGTTGCGTCTCCTGGGCACGCCAGAAACCTATGATTGTGGGTTCCAATTCCAGTTCGTCACGAAAATGTTTCTAGGTTTGTCAGCATCATACCCGTGCTCGCTGGTTTCACCGAAGTGGTAAGTTGTCTGAGACCTGCATCACTTCGGGCTTTCCTCCCACATTAAGCTGACACGCCGTGATATAAATGGAATAATGTTCAAATAGGCGTTAACCCAACTCACTCACTCACTCAGCTCGTCCGATCACTGGTGGCAGTAAGCCATGCATTTGAAGTGCTTGCTCGACACGAAAGTCATGTCCAAACACTTCGCCTGTCTGCTGTATTTTCGAAGCTTCACTTCACGATGTTTTGTGTTGAGACTGGACACTGTGCTCAGATAGGCCTTCTGTTCACTGTGATAATGTTTGTTTTCAACAACAGTCATTAGGGTTGCTATATCCCAGTGCAGCAGCTGTTTTCCACAACAGTCATTAGGGTCGCTATATCGGTGTGCTGCAGCTGTTTCCTACGACAGTCAGTAGGGTTGCTATATCCCTGTGCTGCAGCTGTTTCCTACGACAGTCAGTAGGGTTGCTATATCCATGTGCTGCAGCTGTTTTCCACTACAGTCAGTAGGGTTGCTATATCCCTGTGCTGCAGCTGTTTTCCACTACAGTCAGTAGGGTTGCTATACCCATGTGCTGCAGCTATTTTCCACTACAGTCAGAAGAGTTGCTATATCCCTGTGCTGCAGCTGTTTTCCACTACCACCAGGAGGGTTGCTATATCCCTGTGCTGAAGCTGTTTCCTACGACAGTCAGTAGGGTTGCTTTATCCCTGCGCTGAAGCTGTTTTCCACTACCATCAGGAGGGTTGCTATATCCCTGTGCTGCAGCTGTTCTCCACTACAGTCAGTAGGGCTGCTATATCCCTGTACTGAAGCTATTTTCCACTACAGTCAGTAAGGTTGCTATATCCCTGTGCTGCAGCTGTTTTCCACTACAGTCAGTAGGGCTGCAATATCCCTGTACTGAAGCTATTTTTCCACTACAGTCAGTAGGGTTGCTATATCCCTGTGCTGCAGCTGTTTTCAACTACAGTCAGTAGGGCTGCTATATCCCTGTACTGAAGCTATTTTCCACTACAGTCAGTAGAGTTGCTATATCCCTGTGCTGCAGCTATTTTCCACTACAGTCAGTAGGGTTGCTATATCCCTGTGCTGCAGCTGTTTCCTACGACAGTCAGTAGGGTTGCTATATCCATGTGCTGCAGTTGTTTCCTACGACAGTCAGTAGGGTTGCTATATCCCTGTGCTGCAGCTGTTTTCCACTACAGTCAGTAGGGTTGCTATATCCCTGTGCTGTAGCTGTTTGCCACTACAGTCAGTAGGGTTGCTATATCCCTGTGCAGAAGCTTTTGTCGCTGTGTGTTTGTTGTTTAACGCCGCACTCAGCAATATTACAGCTATATGACGGCGGTCTGTAAATAATCGGGTATGGACCAGACAATCCACTGATTGACATCATGAGCATCGATCCACGCAATTGTGATACGATGACATGCATCAACCAAGTCAGAGAGCTTGATCACACGACCCTGATAGTCGCCTCTTACGACAGGCATAGTCACCTCTTACAGCAAGCATGAGTTGCTGAAGAGCTATTCTAACCCGGATCTTCACGGATAGTCAGTTATTTGTAATGAATCCCAGCTTTACTGCTCAGAAAAGGCATCTGCGTGTGAGTTGATTCCATGTTTATGATCAACAAAGATATAAACGAATGAAGACGATTCCTCTTTTAATAATGAATTCAATCATTTACAGATATATCGTCAGATCAATATCTGCGCACATGAATAAGTATTACTGGTATGATACCCACGTGATGATCATTGTCTCCAAGAACATGTTGCCCGAGGGGACAAATACCTACACGTTGTAGAACATGACACTAAATAAATATATCTGTATAGTAAATATGTCAAAAACAATACTGAACACGAAATGGCAGTGAGTCCCTGTGGCCCTGAGGAGTCATCCATGAGTGTCTGTGACACTTCTGCCGAGCGGGCAATCTGTGTCTGGTGTATCAAACACGTGCTCTCTTTTATTAGTTATCCAATCACACATCTATACAACAGAACACGTATAATGGCCAATAGTGTATGAGTGAATGAGTGAGTGAGTTGGGTTTAACGCCGCTTTTAACAGTATTACAGTTGTATCGCGGTGTCTCAGCTTAATGTGGGAGGAAAGCCCGAAGTGATGCAGGTCTCAGACGTTTACTACTTCGGTGAAACCCATGAGCACAGGTATGATGCTGACAAACCTAGAAAAATAATCGGGGCGAACCGATAATGGCCAATAGAATTAGAAGGTTCGGGATATAAAGTCTCTTTTGATCAACTGAAACTGAATTATTTAATAACTTCCCAACACTTTTTTATATTCTTCTGAAATTCATCAGAAGTGTTCATTTGGGCAATAATTTTGTGCCTGACCATATGTTCAAAACTGGCAAGTCATAAAAAGATAAATAGGTAGTTGTTATCCTATTTATAATATTTTCTGTAACTTTAATAATTAAGATTTCCAAGTGGACCATCATGCCCTTTTAACACCGTGTACTTCACCGCCAGTCGTAGTGGGTCCCAATCCCCTGATTTATGTAAAACGTAATTGAGTGATCTAGGATTCACGACGCCATCAGCAATATTTCAGCAGCATCACGGTTGGTGCGCCTACAATGGGCTCCACACACTGTACCCATGTAGGGACTCGAACCTGGGGCTTCCCACGTGTGTATATCCACCAGCTGACATGTCCACTATCCACCAGATGACATGTCCACTATCCACCAGATAACATGTCCACAATCCACCAGCTGACATGTCTCACTATCCACCAGCTGACATGTCTCACTATCAACCAGCTGCTATGTCCACTATCCACTATCTGCTATGTCTCACTATCCGTTAGCTTTTATGTCCAATATCCACCAGCTGACATGTCTCACTATCCACCAGCTGCGATGTCCACTATCCACCAGCTGCTATGTCCACTATCACTTAGCTGACATGTCTCACTATCCACCAGCTGCTATGTCCACTATCCACCAGCTGCTATGCCCACTATCCACTAGCTGACATGTCTCACTATCCACCAGCTGCTATGTCCACTATCCACCAGATGACTTGTCCACTATCCTCCAACTGACATGTCTCACTATCCACCAGCTGTTATGTCCACTATCCACCAGATGACAATGTCTCACTATCCACCAGATGACATGTCCACTATCCACCAGCTGACATGTCTCACTATCCACCAGCTGTTATGTCCACTATCCACCAGATGACAATGTCTCACTATCCACCAGATGACATGTCCACTATCCACCAGCTGACATGTATCACTATCCACCAGCTGATATGTCCACTATCCACCATCTGATATGTTCACTATCCATCAAGTGATATCTCGACCATCCGACAGCTGACATGTCCACTATCCACCAGCTGACATGGCCCACTATCCATATGTCTTAAATACTGCGTTAGGCGGCAGTATGTTTGAACATTATTTGATGTACATTTCTGTAATCTTCATTTTCAACTTAACGCATTCGCTTTTGGTCGAAAATCGACTTCAACTTGTATTTTGTATTCAAAACTCGAGAAATGAATGAACACTGAAACCCTTAAAACACAAAACGAGAGACAATAATGTTCCAGCCATGGCCATATTGACCTGAGACAACATATAGCGCTTTCAACAATGAGCATGTTTCGTTAATGTTAAAGGGGGACAAGGCACGGGAAATTTGCAGCTCAATCAAGTTCCTGAAGCCTTGAGTCTACCAACTCATTTTACAGGATGTCCACAAGCTACGCATGCTTTCCCCAATTATACAAAGACAATGTGATACTACCACTCAAGCACTTATTACGTCTGGACAGAGACTGAACATGGGTATCACATAATCGAGCATAGTCCCTCTTTAGTGACATTCGGGACTACCGGAATACCTTCAAAATCTCATAATCGAGCATAGTCCCTCTTTAGTGACATTAGGGACTACCGGATTACATTCAAAATCTATGATTAACTTTAACTGAACCGTTGCTCCTTGTATTCAGTTGGTGGATAAATGCTATGACAACTACCGTGTTAGGGAACTAACTCTAAGTTCATATTAAACTAGTGTCTTTGAAACAGTGTAGAATCAGCACCAATAATGCAGCATTGAGTATGACGTCACATCCTTCATGACCTTCACCTTCATCTCAGCAGAACATCGTGTACATGAGAAACTGAAACATGGATATAAATATGCAGCAGTTGGTTGAGATACTACTAGTAATAGTTTAATCTATATTTCATAGTGGCATGGTCGGCCAAGTCTTGTAAGGCGCCCACCGTTTGATATTCTGGCATTTGTGTTGGAGGCAGGACAATGTTTCGGTGGTCGATTCAATTCAACGTATGTGAATGGAGCCGAATTTCAACTTTCTCACAGAACACATTTCACATTTCAGACAACCAGGGTGTTCATTTTGTTTTGTGTAAAGCCCGTGGACATGTTTTTCATTTTGTTTTTGACAAATTCTATTTTTAAACAATCCCACCACCTAGAATATTAAATGGTCGACCCCGAACGTGCCGCGGCGTCGATTGTAGCAACGTTAAGATCATAAGATCAAATGCACGGAAATTCCATTTGAAACCGACGGTCTTACCCAGAGATGTAATTGGTATAGTCTAGATATCATACAATAAGTTGCACTATAAACTACATCTGTTTGATTAGAGAGAGTGACTGGCAAACCTAGAAACATAATCAGGGCGAGCAGGGATTCGAACCCACAATCATAGGTTTCTTGCGTGCCCAAGGGACGCAACTCTGCACAACGAACTGCGGCGCCTTGGACGACTGGGCATCCCTTGTCCCTTGATCAGCAGGAGCTCTTAGATACGTTGTTATATAACATTCATGTCAAATTAGTATGGTCTGTCCATTCCAAATGTATCGTGTCACAAGTACCTCCAGTCACCATCACGGTGTGTCTTGGTTCTATACGTCACGCCGATGACCAGAGTTCGATTCCCGACATGAGTACAATGTGTGAAGCCCATTTCTGGTTTCCTCCGCCGTGATATTGCTGGAATATTGCTAAAAACGGCGTTAAACCATACTCATTCATTCATTCATTCTTGGTTCTATAGAACACTGTTCGATACCTTCTCCCCGTGGGGATCGAGGAAAGGACAGGTCGTATGGTTGCCATGTTCGTCGTAATAACCAACTGGTGTTCCCACTCAGTGACTTGGTGATTCCGTGTTATCTTATACAGATCCATGCTCATGTTTTCAGACAGTGGACCGTCTCGTCCAGAATATAAACAGGGGGCCCTGATGCAGCTGGTGAATTGCTGAGTGCGGTAAAGCAACACTCGTTTCCATTCATGGTTACGACCAGAACAACAGGCGCGCAGGTTCTACGTTCAGTTTACCTCATTCCTGGTGAACTCGGCCACGCCCTCCCTGTTTCCCTGACCTTTCTGGTGCTTCACGAAAATACCTGGGAAAAAAACCGACATTCATTTTCTGATAGCGACATGATCAATCTGTGTTTGACGTGGAACATATTACGAGCTCTTCATGTATGTTTAAGGTAAGGTGAGGTGAAATGGAGTTAACGTCGCGTCCAAGATTACTGCACTTATATAGCGGCGTGCATGCACGTGTGTGTGTGTGTGACTGCTTATACTAGTCCGGACTGATACCGATTTATAGTGCTAACACACTGAGATACCATGCCACTGAGACAACATGAATACCCCAGTCAGACACAGTATACTGACTCCGAGCATAACATTCCTTGTTTGAGCCCCTTAATGTCGAGCGTCAGACAGGGTAACAACAAATACCATCTTTTAACGTCTTTTGGTATGACGCGGCCGGGGATCGGACCCCGGACCTTCCGTTCTCCGGGCAGACGCTCTACCACTAGACCACGGAGGCGGTCTCAAATTCAAACAACTCTTACTACTTTAAGTGTTAAAATATAAGCTACTTTCCTACTCATATTCATATCGACAAAGAACAAATTTCCCACTGTGGTTGGTGTTTTGATTTCGTTAGATTGATTTGAGCTTGTACCGCCCCGTGAAGATCCGTGTTAGAATAAGCCTTCAGCAACCCATGCTTGCCGTAAAAGGTGACTCTGCTTGCCGTAAAAGGCGACTAACGGAATCGTGTGGTCAGGCTCGCTGACTTGGTTGATGCATGTCATCGTATCCCAATTGCGTGGATCGATGCTCATGATGTCAATCATTGGATTGTCTGGTCCATACTCAATTATTTACAGACCGCTGTCATATAGCTGGAATATTGCTGAGTGCGGCGTTAAACAACAAACAAACAAGCTGGGATCTGTGTCATACTGCAAGCATTACTTACCGTACATGAGGAGAAGCTTGGACATGACGATGACGAAGTCTTCGAAGATGATGCGGTTGTCACGGCCGCCGTACCGCCTCACCATGGCTGTCAGAACACTGCGACTCAGGGGGAAGCCTGATTCATGAAGAGCTCGTTAGATTGGTTTTATTTAGAGTTGAGGTGAGGTGAAATGGGGTTTAACGTCGCGCCCAAGATTATTGCCCTTATATAGCGACGTGCATGCACGTCTGTGTGGCTGCTTGTACTTGTCCGGACTGATGCCGATTTATGGTGCTAACCAACTGAGATACCATGCCGCAGTTTTACCTGAATACCCCACTCAGACACAGTATACTGACTCCGAGCCGACCAGTCCCTGTTTTAGCCCCTCAATGCCGGACGCCAGTTCAAGTAAAACCTGATGTGTAAGACCGGGTATGAAGTTTTACTTCGTTCAAGTAAGACCTGGTGTGTGCGACCGGGTATTAGGGTTTTACTACGTTCAAGTGAGACCTGATGTGTAATATATATAAGTTCAACAATCTTGGACGAGACGCTATTAAACCCCATTTCACCTCACCTCTAAAGTCGAAGACAAGAATTGATTGTTTTATTATAGAGGACGGGGAATAAACCCCAAACCTCCTGGTCGGTTCCCAGGTACTCTAACCATTAGACCACAGAACTGGTTCATGAGGAGGTCCCCTGTTTAGCGTATATTTCCTGGCCAGATATATTTTAGGAGCGCTTCTTTAGACATTCGTAACGCACTTTTATACATAATATAAAACAAATATTAATATGTTCTTTCCACGGTTCATAAGTCGGACAAAACATCCTCCACGGTAGAAATAGTAAACCATTCGGGCAGCAGTGACCTGCCTAGTAAAACTAACGCCCTTGGTCTTTCTATCTCAGCCACTGCTATCCTCAGGTTGTACTGGGGGAGTCTTTTATACCTCACTTCAAACATTGTGTGCGTGGCCAAACTCTGCTCATCGCCTTGACACAGTCAGGGTATTGCGTACGGTGAAAAACAGTAATTCCACTCAGTGTAGGGAGATTTTACTTACCTAATGCGTTGAAGAGGGATCCCAGCTCCAAGGTGTCAATGCTCCCTGTCTTGTCTGCATCAAACTTTCTGAATACGCCCTGCCAATGAAACAGAACGCGGTTAAAGAAGAATCATTAAAAACAGATTTTTGTTTTTCGCAATGTTCAGCAGGCTATCATGGTCTACAGTCAGGCATGTCGTCTAGACAACGACAGCGAGCTACATTTCATAGCAACCGTATATTAGTGAACCGTCAGAGTGAGCGAGTGAGTTGGGTTTGAGGCTGTCTTCTATAGAATTGAATCAATGCCTTGGCAGGAAACACATCGATCTCAGGCGAACGCCGCACTCAGCAATATTCCAGCTGTATGACGGCGGTTTGTAAATAACCGAGTCTGAACCAGACAATCAAGTGATTGACATCGTGAGCATCGATACACGCAAGTGGTATACGATGGCATGCATAAACCAGGTCAGCGAGCCTGACCACCCGATCCCGTTAGTCGCCTCTGCTTCACGTGTCGGGGACATGTGTTGCACCGTCACCCTAGTGTATGCATGTTTACTATTATTCGTGATAACGATGTTGATGCTGCTTACAGAATGTTTAGGAAAACAAAAAACATATATTCATGTGTGACAGTGTTTTCCAGTTGCTTTCTCGAAGACGGAACAAAATCTATAAGACTGGGTAAACTTACGGAGTACGTCTTCACCTCCTTCCACATTTTCTTCACATCTTCAAAGTTGACGAACCCAGTCTGGTTTTGCTGCCATTGTCAAGGTTGTACATGTTTATGATAAACCATGTTGTACAGGAGCATCTCGTTAACTCAAATGAAAATGCAGTAAACTCCGTTTGTAACGAACACGCTTTTAACGAACTTACTTTTAATCCCGGCCATTTGTTGTATATATGCTTGTAACGAAGTACGGTTACTACGAACTAAAAGTAGTGGTCCCTATGAGTTCGTTATAAGCGTAGTTTACTGTTCTCTTAATCAGAAATTCGAAACAACGTGTTTTTTGGTGGTTGGGGTACAGACTATCAATGTGATTGTATATTAAAATGGAGAGTTGGGTTCAGGGTTGAAGAATATTTCAGTTATTTCGGGGCGCGTTTGGGTGACGTAGGAGAAAAGTCAAACGCCGGGTTAAGATATTATCAATTTGATGAAAGCTAAGGTCGGCAGACCCACTTCGTGGTCTAGGGGATACAGCAGCTCGCCGGAAAGCGGAATGTCGTTGGTTCGATCCCCGGCCGAGCCATACCAAAAGACGATAAAAGAAGGTACTTGTTCTTACCCTGCCTGGCGCTCGGTGTTTTTTCATTCATGTTAAACTGCGGTATGACATATCAGTGGGCCAGCACTATAAAATCGGTATTTTGTCCCGTCTAGTACAAGCAGCACACGCACACGCACACGCACACGCACGCACGCACGCACGCACGCACATGTACATCGACGTCGCTTTTTAAGTACAATAATCTTGAACGCGATGTTAAACCCTATGTCACCTAACCTCACCTAAGATCAGCGGATTACTGAGTGAGTGAGTTGGGTTTTACGCCGCTTTTAACAGTATTCCAGTTATATCACGGCGTGACAGCTTAATGTGGGAAGAAAGCCCGAAGTGATGCAGGTCTTAGACGTTTACCACTTCGGTGATACCCACGAGCACGGGTATGGTGCTGACAAACCTAGAAACATAATCAGGGTGAACCGGGATTCGAACCCACAATCATAGGTTTCTGGCGTACCCATTGGACGCAACTTTGCACAGCGAATCGCGCCGCCTTAGACGACTGTGCCCAGTGCCCCCGCAGCGGATCAGAGGACTAAGGGATGCAACTGCGAAAATAAGCCTTGAAACTGTTGTCACGTGATCTTCTACTTCCACGAAGGTCACAAGGATACATCCATCATACTGACAAGACTGCGACACGCCTCGCTACTGAAGTTTAGCGCGTCCGTGAACTCTGGAAAAGTAAGAAGAAATTACTATATGAAATATACTTCCACAATGGCTAGCAAATTCTTGGCACGACGTAATTATTATCCCAAGTGGAAATGAAAATAATTCTATTTTGATACATATATCTTTTTCAATGCCGACATAAAAAAATCAATTCAATATTGCTGGTGGGATATAGCGAATATGAAAGTAGAACGAAATCGTGCCACCTTGATCATAAGGTCAGATTCGGAGCCATGGATTGATGGTTTGTTGTTTTACGCCACACTCAGCAATATTCCAGCTATATGATGGCCGTCTGTAAATAATCGAGTCTGGACCAGACAATCCAGTGATTGACATCATGAACATCGATCCACGTCATTTGGATACGATGACATGTGTCAACCAAATCAGCAAGCCTGACCACCCGATCCCGTTAGTCGACAATCATAGTCGCCTTTTACGGCAAACATGGGTTGCTGAAGACCTATTCTACCCCGGATCTTCACGGGATGGAGCCATGGAATTTGGTCACAATTTAAATGCAGTTTTCCTGATGCTGTTCGCAATAACACGGCATGTCCACGTCAAGATTACATTCAACAAGTACACGGGTGTCTAGAGTGAGACCAATTAGCCCAACAGTGAGTGAGTTGGGTTCTTAACGCCGCTTTTAACAATATTCCATTTATATCACGGCGTGTCGGCTTAATGTGGGAGGAGCGCCTTAGACGAGTGGGCCACCCTGCCCCCGAAAAAAACGAACAGAGCGAGGTACCTGTTTTCGATATTGCCTTCAGGAAGCCAGCCAATTCTTTCGAGTCCATCCGCCCATCTTCTCCGGAGTATTTAGCAAATAAATCGACCGTAGTGTCTTCCACTGGCTGGACTGGCTGCGTGAACAGCAATAATAAAATTATTGTTATTTTATATTTTTCTAACTCATAATGCTTGGATTTGGTGTAATAACGTTCCTATTGTACATGTGCATCTCCGTAGTTCTCGAGTGGTAAATAATGTCATACTGACGCATCATTGAGACCACAGTGATATGACGTCATTCACTGCTCATGACGTCACATAACATCGTCGTTAGTTTGTTGGTTTGTTTTTTGTGTACCGCCGCACTCAGCAATATTCCAGCGAAACTGCCGACCAAAACAATGAACACAACAATGTTTGATGGTAGCTAAAACGAAACAAACAAATAATATTGTTGATATTTTTTTTATCAAATCCAGTTTGCAAGGGCATTTTTGTTGCCCGGCAATTTATATGACGGCGACCTGTAAGTAATCGCATTAGACAATCCAGTGATTGATATCATGAGCATCAATCCAAACTGGGAAACGATGACATGGATCAACCAAGTTAGTGATTCTGACCACCCGATCCAGTTAGTCACCTCTTACGACAAGCATGGGCTGCTTTAGACCTATTCTAACCCGGATCTTCACGGGTCATGTCGATATGTATAAGAGGAGGAATCGCAACATCAATCGCAACTAGGAAACGATGACATGCATCAACCAAGTTAGTGATTCTGACCACCCGATCCAGTTAGTCGCCTCCTACGACAAGCATAGGTTGCTGGAGACTATTGCTACCCCGGATCTTCAGGGTGGACTAACGGATTGCGCCAAAGATATGCCACTTGCTACGCATGTACTTTGGTTCTGCTTTCAAAGGCATTGACATGGAGGAATGGAGGTAATATATCTTACAGTTGCCGGCCCGGGGTCCTCGTCCATTATTCTGAAAGAAGATGAAAGATCAATTTAAAATAAAATCTCCCGAAATCAATATTTCACCCTACATTTAAATCGATATTTCACCCCGAATCGATATTTCACCCTAAATCTAAATCAATATTTCATTCTTAAGCAATATTTCACCCTGAATCAATATTTCACCTTAAATCAATATTTCACCCTAAATCAATATTTCACTCTAAATCTAAATCAATATTTCACCCTAAATCAATATTTCACCCTTATCAATATTTCACCCTAAATCAATATTTCACCCTAAATCAATATTCCAATATCACTGCTTTGTTATGTCTGAGAAGGAGTGCTTGGTAGTTGCGTAGATCATGCGTTCGTTTATCACGCTGACGACCCGGTTCGATTCCTAACTGGAGTACAAGGTGTAATTGACACATAATGTCAATTTATTGCTGCGATATTCAATTTCATACCACTATTAGTTGGTGGTGGGTGTTTTCGCCAAGGCGGCCAAATCAGAAGCTTGTCATTGAGATTTGCAACCTTTGATTGACCAATCAGAGTCGAGCACTTTCTTGGTAGAATACACTCCTTAATTATCGATCAACGGTAGCAGTACGCAGATAAATACACATCGGGCTGGGTTATGTTAAGATTAATTGCTGAACTATATCTCTGCATAAACGTTGATATTTTACATTTATTACCCACGTGCTGAAGATACAGGTGGTAAGATACTAAATCCGTACGTCAGGTGTGTGTCGTTCAAGGTTGACCTGTTTTATTCGTTTTGATTGGATAACCATGACCCCTGTCACACCGGGACTACTTTTTTCATTCATAAACAATCGCGAGATGTCATCCATTTTGCAACTACAAGGCCGAACTCGTGAACTTTCTATGGTATCTGACCCCGCTTTCTCTCGGTCAGATACCATAAAATGTCCATTCGTTTCGTAAAAATGGTCTCCAACGAGAATGAGTGTAGTATTCTCTATGTACTCAATGGATTTCAGTTCTAAGGGTAATTCCAACCTACCCGCTTTCTGCCTTCTTTTCCGTAAATAGCCGAAGCAGGAAGTTCCTCTCCTCGTGAGGCTCAAACGTGCTCGGGATTATGACGTAAGTCCCGGGTGGCAGCTCAAAGCGTCGACAAACTTCTCGGTAATACTGGAAGGACCCCGAGCGTTTCGTCAAGAGGAGAGTATTGCGGGGCGCCTTCTGTCCGTCTAGAGGGCGGAAGTCCGGGAGGTTTAACTGGAATATCACCAGGAAGAAATGCCGTACACGAACATGAACATCAGTGGTGTGTGAGACATCGTAATTCTCTAGGCAGAGTAGCGCCCCTTGGCCGCGTAAGGATGCGCTCATTGTGTGAATTTCAGATTTGCCTTGCTTATAATCCCAGATTTGACAGCATCATATCAGCGCTCGTGGGTTTTAAGAAAATGATAAAAATCAAGACCACCGTTACTTTTAATAACGTGTTGAGGCGTTGCCATGTCAGCTGTAGATCCGGGTTCGAATCTTAAAATTTCGTTATGCCTATTTGAATACTCTTCGTTGTGATATATAGCTCTAAGAGAGATTAACCTACAACCTCTCACTAAATGAACCAAACACGCTGAGAAACTATTTGGAGTTTTGGGAACTCAAGAAGAGTGAGTGAGTGAGTATTGTTTTACGCCGCTTTTAGCAATATTCCAGCAATATCACGGCGGGGGACACCAGTAATGGGCTTCATACATTGTACCCATGTCGGGAATCGAACCCGGGTCTTCGGCGTGACGAGCGAACGCTTTAACCACTAGGCTACCCGACCGCCCCAACTCAAGAAAAAGCTTCACGCGTTGGGCAGGTGCGCTAAGGGAATGATTAGTTATCTCCTGGGTACGACAACATGTACCGCAACTTGTTTGCGACAACATATTCATATTTAACTGGCACGGGAACCCAATCGTCTGAACTGAGGTGAAATGGGGTTTAACGTCGCGTCCAAGGTTATTGCACTTATATAGCGACGTGCGTGCATGCACGTGTGTGTGTGACTGCTTGTACTTGTCCGGACTAATGCCGATGTAAAGTGCTAGCACACTGAGAGATACCCCACTCAGACACAGTAAACGGACTCCGAGCCTATCAGTCCCTGTTTTAGCCCCTTAATGTCGAGCGCAAGGCAGGGTAACAAGGAGTTCCATCTTTTGGTATGACGCGGCCGGGGTTCGAACCCGGGACCTTCCACTCTCCGGGCGGACGCTCTACCACTAGACCACGGAGGCGGTCCCCAGTCGTCTGAGGAAACACAAGACGCATTGAGTGATGAGCTGCCTTGATTCGTCCGCACCACACCGAGCTCCTTAGTTTAATGGAAGAGGCGGGGCACGAGTGTCCCCTGAGCACGTCAGAAACCTATGATTGTGGGTTCGAATCCCGGTTCGACCTGATTTTGTTTCTAGGTTTGTCAGCACCATAGTCTTGGACTTGCATCACTTCGGGCTTTCCTCTAACATTAAGCTGACACGCCGTGATGTGACTGTAAAACCGCTAAAAGCGGCTTTAAACCCAACTCACTCACTCACTCTACGACCTGCATCGCGCTATGATACACCTCAGACAGTGTTTAAAGCCTCACTCTCCCACTCAGTCACTCATGTTATACGTACCCTGTAGACATCAAATCCTATTGCTGTTTTTGAGACATCCCCTCCCTTCTCCTTCTCCATGAGAGACACGATGAGCGTGCAGTCATTGTCCGTCAGGCGGTCGTCAAACTCACGGAGAGTCACGAAGAACTGAGGGTTCTTCCAGTACAGATCTACAGACAATATATGCTCTATGTAGAGGAAATACGGTATATCTGAAGGTATGTCAATGTTGTTGTATGATACACTATCTGACAATGGTATTTAGAAGTTGTAGCAGCAATGAAAACAAAGTTGACATTGCGAGTGTACTGTACTGTAACTGTTTGTTTGTTTGTTGTTACTTGAATACCGCTCTCAAATATATTCAAGTTATTTCACGGCGGTGTGTAAATAACCGATTCCTAACCGGACAAACCAACGATTGACAATTATGAAACGCCCTGCGCCGTCGGGATACGATACACGATGCGAGCAATCAGCCAAGGCACCAAGCCAGTCCCGGCATGGCGTGCTTGTGAACAATTTTAACCCGGAATGCCCACGTTTCTGTGGATATAATTTAATGAATCATGAGAATGAATGTACTGACACAGACATCAAGAGTACTTACTCTGATTGGGCGGGTTGCCACACCCTCCGGCAGTCACCCCCCTGATCCAGGAGTCATGGTACAACGTCACGTTCCAGTGGTTCTTGTTCTGGAACACAGAGGTCAAGGTAATGGCGGCACAGAGGTCAGCCAGACGATAGTGCCACAGAAGTCAACCAGTTAATGGTGGCACAAAGGTCAAGGCAATGGCGGCACAGAGGTCAAGGCAATGACGGCACAGAGGTCAAGGCAATGGCGGCACAGAGGTCAACCATGCAATAACGACATAGAGGTCATCCAGACAATAGCCTCTCAGAAAGCAACCCGTTAATAGTGCCACAGAAGTCAACCAGTTAATGGTGGCACAGAGGTCAAGGCAATGGCGGCACAGGGGTCAAGGCAATGGCGGCACAGAGGTCAAGGGTAATGGAGGCACAGAGGTCAAGGGTAATGGCGGCACAGAGGTCAAGGCAATGGCGGCACAGAGGTCAAGGCAATGACGGCACAGAGATCAAGGCAATGGCGGAACAGAGGTCAACCATGCAATGACGACACAGAGGTCATCCAGACAATAGCCTCTCAGAAAGCAACCCGTTAATGATGGCACAAAAGACAAGGCAATGACGGCACAGAGGTGAAGGCAATGGCGGCAAAGAGGTCAAGGCAATGGCAGTATATGTCTTGGTGTTTTTGAAATGGATGTTGTGTAGCTACGAGCAAAGGTGATTCAGTATTTATTCAGGTAGTCTCGTTGAGCTCGTAAAAGTGATTCAGACTTATCTGTTGTAGTCTCGTTGAGCTTACATTGCATAGGTGAACCCCCTACACATGGTGGTCATCATAAATACATGCATGAGGACTGCACACCAAGGTTCAACTCACTTCGTGGGGCACGGGTGGCCCAGTCGTCTAAGGCGCCGCAATTCGCTATGCAGAGTTGCGTCCCTTGGGTACGCCAGAAACCTATGGTTGTGGGTTCGAATCCCGATTCGCCCCCATTATGTTTCTAGGTTTGTCAGCACCATACCCGTGCTCGTGGGTTTCACCGAAGTGGTAAACGTCCGACACCTGCATCACTTCAGGCTTTCCTCCCACATTAAGCTGACACGCCGCGATATAACTGTAATACTGCTAAAAGCGGCGTTAAACCCAACTCACTCACTCACTCAACTCACTTCGTCTATGGCGACCTCGTCAGTGAGAGCATCAGGCTGCAGATGACAGAGCTGGATCTCGTCAAAGTTGGCAAGGAAATCCTCTATAGAAATCCTGAAACATAGAAGGTGGTAACTGACGAGTGCATGCAGGTTGTGATGCTAGGGACAGATCGACCGCGGTGCGTGGTGTGCAGAGAGGACATGGTGTTGCAGTCAGCAGTTCCAGTTATATCACGGCGGGTTGGTAGGGTGGATTTTGGTGAGGGAGGATGGTTGGAAGCTGAAGCGTTTAGCAATACCCCAGAATCTACCACACTAGGTTACCACAACGCCCCCGAAGACATTGAATATTGAATTTCGCTAGCAAGAGTGAGTGAGTGAGTATGGTTTTACGCCGCTTTTAGCAATATACCAGCAATATCACGGCGGGGGACACCCGAAATGGGCTTCACACATTGTACCCATGTCGGGAATCGAACCCGGGTCTTCGGCGTGACGAGCGAACGCTTTAACCACTAGGCTCCCCGACCGCCCCGCTAGCAGGATTACTGCATGGGAACATTTCATTATATTTGTTTATGTATTTGTTTTGCTAGCTGCTACTTTCTTTTATGCGTTTGTAACAATGAGCCGGGGCGCAGGTTTTTTTTATAAAGGGAGACTACTCGTACGTACCAGAATTCGCCATCGTCCCTTGCCCGGAAACGAAGATCATTCTTGATTTCCTCGGATACAGACGCGATTTCCCGAGACCTGGTATAACGAACGAGAACGTCATGTATTAGTGTTCATCTGCCGTGTTAATATCACAAGCGTTGATGCCACTATAGTCCTGAAACAATCAAAGCATATTTGAATATATAATCCTTCCCAAACTCATCCTGGTTCATCGTCTGAACGTCTAATGTCCGCAGGCTGTTCATACGAACCTGATCTGAGAAAACACAAGCAAATACAAAACCTCTGACCGATGGTCAGATGAATTAACTTTTATTCCTCTCTTTCTGACCACCTGGGTGCCGTTGTACAAAGCAATCTTAGCGCTTAAGTGATCCTAACTACCATACCATAACGTTCTGTATGTTGGCCTCCCTGTCTGATCACGTGCGTGGATGACGTTCTGTATGTCGGCCTCCCTATCAGATCACGTAGATGACGTTCTGTATGTTGGCCTACCTGTCTGATCACGTGGATGACGTTCTGTATGTCGGCCTCCCTATCAGATCACGTGGATGACGTTCTGTATGTTGGCCTACCTGTCTGATCACGTGGATGACGTTCTGTATGTCGGCCTCCCTATCAGATCACGTGGATGACGTTCTGTATGTTGGCCTTCCTGTTTGATCACGTGGATGACGTTCTGTATGTTGGCCTACCTGTCTGATCACGTGCGTGGATGACGTTCTGTATGTCGGCCTCCCTGTCTGATCACGTGGATGACGGTCTGTATGTCGACTTACCCGCATGTCCACGTGGATGACGTTCTGCATGTCGGCCTCCCTGTCTGATCACATGGATAACGTTCTGTATGTCGACTAACCTGTATGTCCACGTGGTTTGTGATCTGTGTGTCGACCTACCTGCCTGATCACGTGGATGACGTTCTATATATCTACCTACTTGTCTGACCAAGATCCATTCCATTCTTTCCTTCCCCAGGGGTTCCGGAGCCTGACCAGGCGACAAACACGACCTTTAAAGGATAACTGGAAGAGAAACGTAGAGCAAAGGCCCGATTCAGTGAGTGGGTTAGGTTATTGTGCTGAAACGTTTTCATTATTTCACAAGGTGCAAAATAGAAACATTAAAAGTGCCGCAGCTCATAGAACCATTCGACCCGTGAAGATCCGGGGTAGAATAGGTCTTCAGCAACCCATGCTTGCCGTAAAAGGCGACAATATGCTTGTCGTAAAAGGCGACTAACGGATCGTGTGGTCAGGCTCGCTGACTTGGTTGATGCATGTCATCGGTCCCAACTGCGTGGATCGATGCTCATGATATCAATCACTGGATTGTCTGGTCCAGACTCGCTTATTTACAGACCGCCGTCATATAGCTGGAATATTGCTGCGTGCGGCGTTAAACAACAAACAAACAAACAAACAAACATAGACCCATTCGAGGATCACTGGTGAATTCATACGAGGTTCATAATAAGGACGAATGTAGACTTCAAACCCCAATCAGTTGAACCTGCGGGGTTAGTGTCGCGACTCAACGTGCACACCAAGTTGTGGAACCATGTCCTCTATTCACCGGTCCATGCCTCAAGATAGAAATATGGAACGTGAATCTTGTAATTCTGTACTCACCTGCGTAAACTATGTACTACTGTACGAATCTGTCAGAACTGTTTTACCATACTCATCTGCGTAAACCCTGTTCTACTGTACGCACCTGCGTAAACCATGTTCTACTGTACGCACCTGCGTAAACCATGTTCTACTGTACGCACCTGCGTATACCCTGTTCTACTGTACGCACCTGCGTAAACCCTGTTCTACTGCACGCACCTGCGTAAACCCTGTACTACTGTACGAACCTCCGTATACCCTGTTCTACTGCACGCACCTGCGTGATCCCTGTTCTACTGTACGCACCTGCGCATACCCTGTTCTACTGTACGCACCTGCGTAAACCATGTTCTACTGTACGCACCTGCGTATACCCTGTTCTACTGTACGCACCTACGTTAACACTGTTCTACTGTACGCACCTGCCTAAACCCTGTTCTTCTGTACGCACGTGCGTGAACCCTGTTCTACTGTACGCACCTGCCTAAACCCTGTTCTATTGTACGAACGTCTGTAAACCCTGTCTACTGTACGCACCTGCGTAAAGCCTGTTCTACTGTACGCACCTACGTGAACCCTGTTATACTGTACGCAACTGCGCGAACCCTGTTGTAGTCTACGCACCTGCGTGAACCCTGTTCTACTGTACGCACCTACGTGAACCCTATTGTAGTCTACGCACTTGCGTAAACCCTGTTCTACTGTACGCACCTGCGTGAACCCTGTTATACTGTACGCAACTGCACGAACCCTGTTCTAGTGTACCCACCTGTGTGAACCCTGTTCTACTGTACGCACCTGTGTGAACCCTGTCTACTGTACGCACCTGCGTGAACCCTGTTATACTGTACGCGTGACCCATGTATAGACCGTTGTACAGGCGCACCTCCGGGGTTGTTGCATTGGGTGGACGCTGGAAAAAAGACGACACCAATGAACCAAGGGCAGCTCCGCTTGTACGACAGAAACATGCTACCTACTATGAACGTGTACTGTTACTGAGAGGCGACTAACGGGATCGGGGGATCAGGTTCGCTGACTTGGTTGATGTATGTCATCGTATCCCAATTGCGAGGATCGATGCTCATTATCAATCGCTGGATTGTCTGGTCCAGACTCGATTATCTACAGACAGCCGTCATATAGTCCGGTGTTAAACAACAACCATCCAAACCATCTGGATGTCTGATCCTTAGTGACAGCTGGTATTACTTTGTGAATAACGGCACGCATGTACCTCCAGACGAGGGTAGTCAGTTGGAAGAAAATAGCTGTAGAAAAGCCTTTCAATCCAATAGCCTTCTATAGTAACATTAATACATATTATTGTTCAGGGCAAAGTAATTGTAATAACTTACAATTGGAGAAATAAGATTCTTATCTCTTCGACAGAAACTAACTATACCGTATTTTCACATCTAAAAGAGATTACTGCGGATTAAGCTGGCCAAACACATGTTCGAAGACTATAGGACAAAACAAATCAGAGTGCTATATATACGCACTGAAGAGCTCGTGTCAAGGATGCAGTGTATCCATGATGTAAGAAGCAAGGGGAGAAGACAGCACACACACACACACACACACACACACACACACACACACACACACACACACACACACACACATGTGATGCATCCAATATATAAATTATCAAATAGAATAAAACAACAACCTTGACACGAACAGAAAAATAAATCACACTATATTTTAAATTATATTTGACTTACCAGAAGAATAAGAAATGGAAAATATAGACAATAGCAAAATGTAAATCAGTTACGGCTTAAATTGACAAAAAAAGAGCCGAATAGAAGAGGAGAGATTATTAAGTATCGGTACATACCGAACCGGTAGTGTCGCGGTACTGACTGAGGTGTGACGTGAGTGGATGCTATATATTATCGTTAATTGGTAGGTTACAATCTGTAGAGTCAATGGGGGGCACGGGTGGCCCAGTCGTCTAAGGCGCCGCGATTCCCTGTGCAGAGTTGCGTCCCTTGGGTACGCCAGAAACCTATGATTGTGGGTTCGAATCCCGGTTCGACCCGATGATGTTTCTAGGTTTGTCAGCACTATACCCGTGCTCGTGGGTTTCACTGAAGTGGTAAACGTCTGAGACCTGCATCACTTCGGGCTTTCCTCCCACATTAAGCTTACACACCGTGATATAACTGGAATACTGTTAAAAGCGGCGTTAAACACAACTCACTCACTCACTCACTCACTGTAGTGTCAATGAGTTTTGATATGTTTCCAATGCGACGTTACAGATGCTGGAACCGTGAACAAACAGTTGCCTCATCAAGCAAGCTGGTAGCATCCGTGCCGCAACATCGCATTGAAATGTACTGCATAGCGGACCAGTGACTGAAATCGTCAGCCAGGATCCCCGACAGCAGTATTATGACGTCACAGAGACGTCAGTTTTATGACGTCACAGAGCTGAAAAATTGGATGCTATCTGAACATTCGTGACCCAACTCGTGTTATTCCGGGACAAGCCGAATAGCGACTCGTGCCCCTCTCATGGCCATTTTTGCGACCGGGTTCCGTCTTAGCGCAGACGGGCATACCTAAAACAATTGTCAACTCGTTGCGTAATGGTTCACATTTATTTCCCCATATATTATATATATTTCAGATACAATTTAAAGCACATCGAGACATTTGGAATTATACAGTATGATTGAACACATTTAACTGTGTCTTGGGTATATTTTTAGATGCAAGACATTTGTAAAATAAAAAAATATTTCTGAGGGATTCTTATACGAAGAACTTGAAATCATACGCGCATTCTGATTGGTTTGTCGTATTTTCGCACATAACAATCATCGATAGGGGGACGAGTCTTCTTGCAGGCTACGGAAAGGGGCGAGTGGTGACGAATGGCTATCTGAAGACGATTGGCTATTTCCGGTGATATTGTCTTCTTTGCGGTAACGGAAAGGGTCGAGGTTAGCCGAAAGAAATGAATGCTCTGTATTTGGTTCTTACGCACGCACAAGGTATGGGAGTTACGATCATCTTAGCACTGAGACTGCTTTATGCAAGTGGGCCCTAGCCGAATAGCTGAGGTTCTAGAAATAGTATTTCATGGCATATGTTTTACAGAATCATCTGTATTTTAAGAACACTTCTAAATAGGCAGTGGCAGAAAAGCGAGAATAGCGGAGATTTTCAGAAAGTATCGAAGACGGCACAAGAATACAAAAACACTTGTCACAATTCATAATTTGGGCCACGTGGCCAGGTGTTCTGTTTGTTTTATTTCTACAAATTACTCTAATCAATAAAAAGAAATCCGATATATGTTTGAGGCTGCCCCAGTCTCGTATATATAGATAATAATTCCTGATTAAAGACCAAGAGAGAGTCGTTGGTGGATATTCAAACATGATCCGTCAATGAATAATTGTTCTTTGAAATCACATTAATAATTCTTAAAAACAAAGATTAACATAAATGTAGATTTGTGTGTTGTACATGATCGTGTTGCACTGGTGCTAATACGTCAAGCAAAGATCATCACAAGCATATTATTAATCATATGCAGAGGTCGCATTGTAAAGGTTTTTAAATTACGATGCTAAAACATTTGGATTCGGACCACCTAAGACTCCAACGAAACTTAAAGTATTTATAAATTTGTTTTCACGAGAGATGTGTGAATTATGTGAATATATGATACTGACATTGTGTAAACACAGAATTAATCTTCAATGTTGGATAACCTAACTACTATTGTGAAATATTGTAATTCTGCATTATCAGGAGTTCTTACAACAAACACGGTAAAGAATCACCCCTATTGGCATAGTGTGAGTCTGAAATTGAAACAAGCATTCAGTCATTTATTAAACATAATTGATTGTACCATGACATCGATATAATTCAACAAAAAGTGTGTTCAGATTAGAGTGAATGAGTTGGCTACAACATCGTTCTGGACAGTATTTCAGTTATATTACGACGTGTCAGTATTTCAGTTATATCAGGGCGTGTCAGTATTTCAGTTATATCAGGGCGTGATAGTATTTCAGTTATATCAGGGCGTGACAGTATTTCAGTTATATCAGGGCGTGACAGTATTTCAGTTATATCAGGGCGTGACAGTATTTCAGTTATATCAGGGCGTGACAGTATTTCAGTTATATCAGGGCGAGTCAGTATTTCAGTTATATCAGGGCGTGTCAGTATTTCAGTTAATTTCAGTTATATCAGGGCGTGTCAGTATTTCAGTTATAAAACGACGTGTCAGTATTTCAGTTATATCAGGGCATGTCAGTATTTCAGTTTTATCAGGGCGTGTCAGTATTTAGTTCAATCTCGTGTCAGTATTCAGTTATATCACGGCGTGTCAGCCTGAGTGAGTGAGTATGGTTTTACGCCGCTTTTAGCTATATTCCAGCAATATCACGGCGTGGGACACCAGAAATGGGCTTCACACATTGTACCCATGTCGGGAATCGAACCCGGGTATTCGGCGTGACGAGCGAACGCTTTAACCACCGCCCCGTGTCAGCCTGATATAGGAAGAAAGTGATGCCGACCTTAAACGTTTACACATTTGTGAAACCAATGAGCACCGGAATGGCACTGACAAACTGAAACTCATTAATAAGGCAGGTCTCGAACCCACGGACATAGTGTTCTGGCACATCGAAGGGATGCAACTCTTTACAGCAAACTGCGCAACTCAGAATCCGATCCGACCAGTCCTTGTTGTATCCGCTTGATGACAACGCCAACATGTACCATCTTTTTACGTATTTTGGCATGACGCGTCCAGGGGATCGAACAACCACCTTCCCATCAAGGGCTCTATCGACGAGACCAATAAATCAGTCTCAATAAATAAGGGGATATAACAGGGAAGAGAACGATGATTGGGATGATGATGGTACAAAAAATAACATGATGATGATGAGGAGGAGGAGGAGCAGAAGGAGGAGGAGAAGGAGAAGAAGGAGGAGGAGATTGAGAAGGACGAGGAGACGGAGAAGGAGGAAGAGGAGATTAAGAATGAGGAGATTGAGAAGGAGGATTTGAAGAAAGAGGGGATTGAGAGGGAGATTGAGGAGAAGGAGGAGGAGTGGAGGAGGAGGAGGAGTGGAGATTCAGAAGAAGGAGGGGAAGATGAAAGAGCAGGAGGAGATAAGGAGGATATTGGGAAGGAGTAGGAGAAGATTGAGAAGGAGAATGAGGAGGAGGAGGAGAGGAGGAAGAAGAGGAGGAGAATAAAATTAGAAAGAAGGAGGAGATTGAGAATGAGCAGAGATTAAGAAGGAGGAGTGGAGGAGATTGAGGAGGAGAAGGAGGTGGAGGATATTGAGGAGGAGAAGGGAGGAGAAGGAGGAGGATATTGAGAAGGGGAGGAGGAGATTAAGAAGGAGGAGAGAAGAATTAGATTGGGGAGGAGAGAAGGAGAAGAGAGGAGGATTAAATTGGGAAGGAGGAGAAGGAAAAGGAGGAGATTTAGAAGGAGATTGAGGAGGAGCAGGAGGTGGAGGAGGAGGAGATTGAGACGGAAGAGAAGGAGGGGAAGAAAGAGGAGGAGGATATTGAGAAGGAGGAGAAGGAGGAGGAGAGAAGGAGGATTTGGGGGAAGGTAGATAAGTGGAGGAGATGTAGGAGAAGGAGGGGATTGAGAAGTTTGAGGAGAAGGAGGAGGAGGAAGAAGAGGAGAAGGAGGAAAATGAGGAGGATATTGAAAACGAGGAGGAGAAGAAGAATGAGGAGATTAAGAAGGGGAAGAGTGGAAGAGATTGAGAAGGAGGAGAAATAGAAGAAGGAGGAAATTGAGAAGGGGAAGAAGAAGAGAAGGAGGAGATTGAGAAGGAGGGGAAGAGGAGGAGGATATTGAAAAAGAGGAGGATGAGAAGAAGAATGAGGAGATTGAGAAGGGGAGGAAGGGGAGGAGGATATTGAAAAGGAGGAGGATGAGAAGAAGAATGAGGAGATGAGAAGGAGGAGAGGAGGAGGAGATTGAGAAGGAGAGAAGGAGGAGAAAGAATAGGAGAATGGACTAGAAGGAGGAGATTGAGAAGGAGGAGAGAAGGAGGAGATTGAAAAGGGAAGTGAGGAGATTGAGATGGAGGAGAAGGAGGAAGAGATTGAGAAGGAGGAGGAGAATAATGCTGATGCACGTAAACATTAAAATCGTGCCCTTATTCAAGTTTATGACAATAACTGAAATAGACGAATCGGAGGAGCATCACTGTGCAATTGAAAAAAATCACAATTCAAATTAAAACTTACGAATATGCTTCCTCCAATCATCGAGTTCATCTTGAAGGAGTTGTACAGCATCTCGTATATATTCTTCGCTATTTTCGCCTTGTCCCGGATGTCGATGGCCTCCGATATTCCTCCGGTAAAATCCACCAGTGAGTCCTGCAGCTTCCCTCCGTCCAGAGCCTCATAGCTTCCCCTGAGTCTGACAACACACAGCGTGTCGTAAATCCAACGTGTGTGTGTGTGTGTGTGTGTGTGTGTGTGTGTGTGTGTGTGTGTGTGTGTGTGTGTGTGTGTGTGTGTGTGTGTGTGTGTGTGTGTGTGTGGCTGCTTGTACTAGTCCGGACTGATGCCGAGTTATGGTGCTAGCCAACTGAGATACCATGACGCATTTTAACATGAATACCCATCAGACACAGTATACTGACTCCGAGCCGACCAGTCCTTGTTTTAGCCCCTTTATGCCGAGCGCCAGGGTAACAACAAGTACCATCACCACGAGTTTGGTGCTGACAAACAATGAATCATAATCAGGTTTAATTTGGGATTTGAACCATGGATTCCGGAAAGCCCAAGGAACATAAATATTTGCGTTATGTGATTGACTGACTGACTGACTGACTGTGTACGGTACTGCGTTTACCACTCATTCACCCAAGTACCCAACAAATGTAATCAGATTAGCTTTGAAAGGAAGATATCGTTCAGGCCCAGTACCTGGCTACGTGTCCTGATGTCGTGGAGCGATGCTTATGTTTCCAATTATTGGTTTGCTAGCCCAGACTCAATTATTTACAGGCAGCGGCGATATGGTTGGTATATTGCGCCGTAAAACAGCATTTACTCACTCACACACCTACCCTGTCTGGTAATAGTCTAGTGAGTAGTTTTACACCGCTTCTAGCAACATTGAAGCAATATCATTACAGGGGGCTTTAAACATTGAACATTTTAACCACTTGCCTACCACAGTGTCCCTCTGGTGTCAGAATCTGAAGGATGACATGTTCAGGAGTTGACTTACTTGGCGTATGCCTTCTCCAGTAGGGCGGACCAGAACTCGTTGGTGCGTTCCCTGTTGTGGCAGAAGATGAGCCTGTAGCCGTCTGTGGGGAGGTAGTCGTCGATGATGACCTCCTCGTACTCTCCGTACCACCAGAAATAGAAGTGGAAGATCCCTATAATATGACAGACAAATATGATTGAACGCTGTGATTGAATGACGGCAGGTATGGCAGTTGTAACAATGTGATTGCACGAGGACAGGTATGGCAGTTGTAACAATGTGATTGAATGACGACAGGTATGGCAGTTGTAACAATGTGATTGCACGAGGACAGGTATGACAAATATAACAATGTGTTTGCATGAGGACAGGTATGGCAGTTGTAACAATGTGATTGAATGACGACAGGTATGGCAGTTGTAACAATGTGATTGCACGAGGACAGATATGACAATTGTAACAATGTGATAGAACGAGGACAGGTATGGCAATTGTCAAAATGTGATTGCACGACTACAGGTACCACAAATAAGTAACGTCACTGTTGGACGAACGGTAGGAGAACAGAATTGATTTCACTCACCAGCATAGTCATTCCCGAAGCCCTGGTCACGTGGTACTACTCTCTCCAGCTGCTTCCGGTGCGAGGTCGCCAAGATGGCTGCTCCAGCCACGAACCAGCAGTTACCTTCATGACATGGAAATACAGTATGATACTGAAGGACAATTCACGAAATGCGAAATATCCTTACAAACAGATAAGCTGCTTAATCAGTGAGTAAACAACTGAACAAATATAGGTATGATAACACATCAATTTCCGACATAAAAAGGTGTTTTTGTAAAACAAACAATAGTTCGGGTTTATTCAATAATATCCGTAGAGGGAAACTAAAGAGAACATAATCGATCATTTCGCCCCTAAACCCGAGGTATGATACATGTCTCCATTGGCAGTGTCCCTCTACTCACGGTCAAGTTTGTTTGTTTGTTTGTTTGTTTGTTACGCTGCGGTCAGGAATGTTAGATGCTTGCCTTAAAGGCGACTATGCTTGTCATAGGAGGTGACTAACGGGACCGTTTGGTCAGGCTCTGTGTCTTGGTTGATGCATGTCATCCCAAATGGGTAAATCGATACTCATGACGTCAATCACTGGATTTTCTGGCCCATAGTCGTTTGTGTATAGACCGCCGTCATGTAGCTGGAATATTGCTGAGTGTGGCGTTAAACAACAAACAAGCAAACAAACAAACTGTTACAGCAATATTGCAACTATGTCACAGAAACCCATGCTCGCCATTAAAAGCGACTATGCTTGTCGTAAGAGGCGACCAACGGGATCAGGCGGTCAGGTTTGCTGACTTGGTTGATGCATTTCATCGCATCCCAATTGCGAAGATCGAACTTTCAAGGTGTCAATCAGTGGATTGTCTGGTTCAGTCTCTATCATTTACTTACCACAGTTCTATAGCTGGAAGATTGGCGAGTGCTAGTTTAAACTACAAACAAAGCATAGCACAGCGGCCTACAGAACAATCCAGTCTTTGCCAAGCAGACCAGTGCCAGAAAACATGTGGAACGCCTCAAGCCGTCGGACAAGCCACTGAGCTTGACCACCCGATCAAATTTACTCGAGCCTTACGATAGGCGATAGGTTGCTGGAGACCTATTCTGCACCGGGTCTATATAGGGTTCACGGTCAGGTCAAGTGTACTGCAGGGGGTGGGGTTTGATACATACCCAAGTAACCTTGGTCAAGGTCATGGCGGCGTGCCTCATTCAGTATAAACACAGGGTTGTTGGCGATGTCCTGAAAGAAGAAAACGTACATGTTATTTCAGTATCGATTCTGACAGTAGAATTTGCCCGTTGACTGGGAAACAATGCTCTAAACTAAATACAAGATTTTGGGTTTGTTTGTTTTTTTATTGCGTAGAGCGTGATTTCATGTTTGTAAGACAAATATTGATAAACGTTCGAGTTTAATGACGATTTGACAAAACTTTACCCAAGGGATGAAAACTGTCAGAAGTGTAACCTAGTCATCGGTTGATAAGTTAGCACAGAGATGGAGTGTTCGCTCGTGTCTACAAAATGCATGACATTTGGTACACAGGAGTTTCATCACAGTACAAACAAGCTATAGGGCCATCCAATATTTTTCAACATGGCCGCCAAATCCAAGATGGCCGCCAAATTTTTCTTTATTTTGGGACATGTGTAAACATTAGGCATTTAGTTGTTCACATATCTTTCTCATATTTGATATCATGGTATATCTCTTTCAAATTGATCCATTTTATATACTTGGTTGCCTTAATGAATGCCCACAATTCACAATTTTCAGTTATTTATCAACATAAAACGGCTATTTATTGAAATGACAATGTCAAACTTCACATGTTATCCTACGCCATCAATACTCATCAATCTCAACTATTTCTATGCAAAAAGCCGCGATAAATTCCATAATTCAACTACATTCCCTAAATTTTCAACATTTCCTCAAATAGAGAAATGTTATGATGAATATACTTGTTCCCAAATGTATCACACTAGTTATACAATAATATGGATACAATTATGAATATTTGGCTAAAGTAGGTTTTTAAAGATGGCCACCAAATACAATATGGCCGACATGAATTTTAACATTATAGACAGCTAACGGAAATTCAGATGCACAAAACGGTGTTTGTTTGATACTTCATACATGATAAAACATAAGCGACAACCGAAGAGCACCCTTTTCATATTCATAAGACATCTCTGCGAAAATAAAAGGGTACAGACTGGTATTGTTATAGCTATAATTGAGTGACTACACAGCCCTCGTAAAGTACTGGATGTTGAGGTGAGTATTGATTCAAGGCTCCGAGTCATCCACTATAATCTGCTACATGATACCCCAGTATGGCGGCGTGACTTATATCATGTGTCACCATGTCATATGTCGGTAATAGCAGGCATGGGTTTCACGTAGCCTTGCTCCAAGTCTGTACTAAAAGAAAAATCCAGGGATGTGTAGTAATTCTATGCTCCTAATAGGCAAGTCTAGATATGTGGACAGTACAGGTCTCTGATAGGGAGACTTGTTCTTATTATTTACATAATCACGAACTGATTTAAAGTAATAATTAATGTCTTAGAGACTTGTGCAAGTCTAGGGTTTCACGATACCATCGGACATGTGTGTTGGATAATAAACGCCCACCTGCCGTCATAACGCTCGGCCAACTCGCTTGATGTGACAGCCAGGTGCAATTATGGAAGATGTATGAAATATGTTTGATGCACTGTGATCAGAGCCACTGCACACATGCTTTGTTCGACCACAGGATGTTGTATATACCTGATGCTACTGCAATCAGTGTTATTGCTGCTGCTACTACCTGCACGTCACAACACCGTAATACCACACCGATACAACTACGCCCACTGTCACAGCCAATACCACCACTACTGCTACAACCAGAAGTGCCACGTTATCAGTAATGCTGGAGTCCAATTACAACTGAAACTATCACTACAACTTCCACCACCACAACCACCACCACTACCACCACCTCCACTACTACCACTTCCACCACCACTTCCACCACCACAACCACCACCACCACCACTTTCACCACCACCACTACCACTACAGCTACCACTAACTCAACCACTACCACCACCACTTCCACCACTACCACTACAGCCACCACTATCACAACCACTACCACCACTTCCACCACCACACCCACTAAGACTACCACAACCACTTCCACCACCACAACCACCACCACAACCACTAAGACTACCACTACCACCACCACCACTTTCACCACCACAACCACCACCACCACCACCACTAAGACTACCACTACCATTACCACCACCACCACTTTCACCACCACAACTACCACCACCACCACCACTAAGACTACCACTACCACTACCACCACCACCACTTTCACCACCACAACTACCACCACCACCACCACCACCACCACTAAGACTACCACTACCACTACCACTACCGCAACCATCGTCACTTCCACCACCACCACTACCACGACCACAACCACAACCACCACAACAACCACTACCACTACCACTACCAGTACCACAACCACTACAACCACCACTACCACAACCACCACCACTACCACTACCACAACCACCACCACTACCACCACCACTACCACTACCACTACCACCACCACTACCACCACCACTACCACTACCACAACCTCCACTACTACAAACACAACCACAACCACAACCACTACCACCACCACCACCACCACCACAACTACAACTACAACTACAACTTCCACTACCACTACCACCGCCACTACCACTACCACTAACACCGCCACTACCACTACCACAACCACAACTACAACTACAACTACAACCACAACCTCTACCCTTACCGCTTCCACCACCACCACTACCACTACTTTATATTGTTATATATTGTTTGAAAGTTCGAAATAAATAACGAAACAACGCCCTCAAGAGATTCTATATAAACTGCCGGTATACACCCGTGTTTGATTGTTGCTAAAATTGAAACAAACAAGAAATGGTTTTCGATCGTGATATTTGATACGGATATTATGCTTATGTTTTGGACCTTAAGGCTGTGTTTCGGCAACTCTTTTCAGCCTAGTATAACGTTAGTAATTTTTATATCATATCCAATTTTCAAGTGTATATTTTCTTTTGCCTAGACGTCTTGTCTTTGGCCTATGTCCGGTCTAAGTCCCTGGTGTGAAACTGAGGCACTGTTTCGGTGTAATTGTGCCGTAATGAACTGATGGACACGCGTCATACAGTTAGCAGAGTAACCAAGTGCGTTGATTGACTTGAATCACATTTGCTGGGACAACGGCAGGAGATTGTTCCCAGTGAGTTGGGGAGGTCGGGTAGCCTAGTGGTTAAAGCGTTCGCTCGTCACGTCGAAGACCCGGGTTCGATTCCCGACATGGGTACAATGTGTGAAGCTCATTTCTGGTGTCCCCCGCCGTGATATTGCTGGAATATTGCTAAAAGCGGCGTAAAAACCATACTCACTCACTCACTCCAAGTGAGTTGTTCCTAACATAGAGGTAGATACAGCACACGCCAGCCTTGATGTGTCACGGGCTGCATATACACTGATAATTTATGGACGATACATCACAAGTTCGTTTTATCTGTGAAGATCTTAAAAACCCCGTTGCTCACAAATAAAAGCGGCACAGTCACTCTAGGACCTGGTTTCAAACACAATATTAATGGCCTCCTAACGAAACCAACAGACCGTCAAGCAAACGCCGGATCTGATAATACTGAAATATGACTGTCCCTAACAATTAATGTTCCCCATGTTAACAAAAACTCGTCTCTTCTTATACGTGAGCTACACTACACTAAGTAAACAGATCTGTACAATAACACGACACTCTTGACTACGTATTGTATAGCATTGTAACCTGCAACACAAGCTATGTCCTGGCTGGTTGCCGTTGTTGTGCCGGGATACTCACTGACAGCTGATCAAGCCTCTGTTGATCATTGTTTGTTTGTTTGTCTGTTTGTTTGTCTGTTTGTTTGTTTGTTTGTTAACGCCGCACTCAGCAATATTCCTGCTGTATGACGGCGGCCTGTAAATAATCAAGTCTGGACCAGAAAATCCAATGATTGACATCATGAGCATCGGTCAACACAATTGGGATACGCTTACATGTATCAACCAAGTCAACAAGCCTGACCACCCGATCCCGTTAGTCGCCTCTTACGACAAGCATGGTTTGCTGCATACCTATTCTAACCCTGATGTTCACGGATTTGTTGATTAAGGCAATACATCACTTTCACTATGAGATGTGAAACCAGCATGATTGAGAGAAGAGAAGGAGGATAGAGAGAGAAATAGAAATACACAGAGTGGAGAGAGGGGGAGGGAGTGAAAGAGAGAGAGAGAGAGAGAGAGAGAGAGAGACGTGAAAGTGAGTGAGTGAGTGAGTATGGTTTTACGCCGCTTTTAGCAATATTCCAGCAATATCACGGCGGGGGACACCAGAAATGGGCTTCACACATTGTACCCATGTCGGGAATCGAACCCGGGTCTTCGGCGTGACGAGCGAAGGCTTTAACCACTAGGCTACCCGACCGCCCCAGAGACGTGAAAAAGAGACGTGAAAGGGGGGGGGGGGACGAAAACAAGAGAAGGGGAGAGGGGGGGGGGGGGAGGTTGAAGGAGGAGGATATATGTTTTTTATTACTTATTATATATCAACCAGTGTCTGTCGCTGTGCAATGATTGTGTCAGATGTAACATGTACAGGACATAAATCCTGCTTTCACTGCCCTGTCTACTGGGTTAACGGGACACTCCCATACAGGTACACAAACAACCACAGTTATATCACAGCAACTACAGCCCAAACAACATGTACACACAATAACATCATACTGTGTAACATAGACTTATATTGTGTTAATGTTTCTGTTTACGAGTTTATATAACGTCGTGTTGCCGTGGAAGGATGGTCCACAGTGACACAGATGGCCTGTGTTTACAACATTGGTCTGCACAGTTGAAGGATTATCACTGGGAGGTTCATTAAATAATGACAATAATACGGACAATAAAGTGTGATAAGAGTATTGAATAGCATCTGTGGGTTATGTGGCCGTGGGGGTTTTAAATGCAATGAGGGGCTCGTCGGAAAATCGACACAGTTTCGTATTCATACAAAGTCGACGTAATGTGTTGCATGTGGTCTTCATAGACAGCCGTACTGTCTCCCGAGCTACCCTCTAAATACACGGTGT